AAAAGTATTTAATCCAATGACAATAAGAGTTCCATTTAACTTTCTAACTCCATTCATTCTAATATACTGAATAGAATTTATGAACTTCACCTAAAAACGTTAATGTGGCGTAAAATTAACTGAAAATACGAGTTTTGCAAATTAATTTCAGTTTTATTTTCAACGCTATTGAAATACACCTAATTCTTTTTTGACTAACAAACTAGGTACAATATAAAATAGTGCTTGTTCTTCGATTATCGCGATTCAAAAAAACTATTTAAACCTTTTTTGTATGGTTTGATTTCGAGTTTTTTTAAAATATTATTATGTAGTATTGCCGGGGTTTTAAATTTTTAACAGATTTCGTGATGACGGACGATTCTAAAATTATATTTTAAAGTGAAAATATTTTTATCGTAAGAGACGATTTTGAACTATGCTCGCCGCGTGGTACGTATACTTATATATAAGTAGTAGTCATATGAATAAATCCACCTAACTTTCTAGTGACGTATGATGAGCTCATCTTAAATAATATTACTAAGATCTCGTCTCCACGGAAGCGTTAAGTCTACTATGGACTAAATTAACTAAACTATTTATGGACTAAATTTCTTCTTCAGGATTGTGTTCGTGTTTCTGTTTTTAAATATACTTATAAATCTTATAATCAAATATATATAAAAATGTATTGCTGTTCGTTAAACTCGAGAACGGCTGGACCGTTTGGCTAATTTTGGTCTTGAATGATTTGTGGAAGTCCAGAGAAGGTTTAAAATATGAAAATGCTCGGAGTTAAATAAAAATAACAATTTTGTTTTTCCTTTGATGTGTCCCCCGTCGGACGGATTCCTTTTGTTTGTTTTAAGTTTATTTTATACAAACATTTAAGTATTTTATTTATCGAATGAGGCACTACGAAGTCTGCCGGGTCAGCTAGTATCTTATAAATAATTCTCATAATAAATCAAATCTCAATAATATCAAAATGAAACTTATAATAGTAGTTTTTGTCATGATTTCTTTGCCTTTCGACTAACAATAAGATCAAAGGACATAAGTATTACCAAGGGACTGCTTACCGTTAGCGAATCTTTTGAAACTGAGAACTATTTACTACGGTAGGACCTCTTGCGAGTGCGCGCGAGTAGGTGCCACCACTCTGACTATTTCTGCCGTGAAGCAGTAATGCGTTTCGGCTTGAAGGGTGGGGCAGCCGTTGTAATTATTCTTGAGACTTTAGAATTTATTTCTCAAGGTGGGTGGCCCATTTACGTTGTAGATGTCTATGGGCTCCAGTCACCACTAAACACTAGGTGGGCTGTGAGTTCGTCCACCCATCTAAGCAATAAATAAAAAATCGTCTAATAAATATTACACTCAGTGTTTTCTTAGTAAATGACGTGATTATTCCGTGATTCAAACTCTACCATCAAAAGTACTCCAACGACTATTTAGAGACAATATCAACAAGTTTGCCCTTTCTATTGTTGTTTAGAGCTCTATGCGTAATACTGTTACTGTAGTAAGAAATGCAGAACTTCTGTATTTAATTGGTTGCTTAATTTCAACTATGAGGACACTGAAAATTTGTTAAATAACTTTTAATGTTTTTGACTTCACCCACACACACCCTCTTACACTCACTCATGCGCAGACTCATTACACACAGAGGGTACATTAATACATTCATTTCAATATTATTTTTTTGTTAATTTTTATATTTTCAAGCTTACATTTTGTCACTTTTATGTAAACCATGAATTTCAGTGTATTTCTTGTCTATTAAATTTCTGTTTCTGTGAAGTAAAGCTGTTGTATTCTTTGTACGAGGAGCACTGCTGCTTGAGATACAGGTTTTATCACCTAGTTCAAGCGCAGATGCACATTATGCTTGTGTTTCTACTTCTATGTTAATAATAAATAAATAATAAATAAAATCTAATTATTATAAATTTTTAAAGGTCGCCAAGCGTCTTGAATAGTCTCGCCTTAGTGCTTAGATTTGCCACAACAATTTGTGTACTCAGCTTGAAAAATTAGCACAGATTTAATGTAATAGAGATTTTTGCGTAATGTTTTAAGGGGATGATGAGGCCCTCGTTCTGATGTCTACATTTATAAATTGAGCGCCTTTTTAACATTCGATAGTACGTAAGCTCGTATAGTAAAAATATAATTTTTCATAACACCAAAATAATATAATACTTTATTAATCAATGTTTTTTTTAATTTTTATTAGATGGTTGGACGAGCTCACGGCTCACCTGGTGTTAAGTGGTAAACGGAACCCATAGACATCTACAACGTCAATGCCGCCACCCACCTTGAGATATGAATTCTAAGGTCTTAGTTTTAACAGTACAATGGCTACCGCGCCCTTCAACCCGAACCGCATTGCTGCTTCACGGCAGAAATAGGCAGGGCGGTGGTAACTACCCGCGCGGACTCACAAGACGTCCTACCACCAGTGATTACGCAAATTATAATTTTGCGGATTTCATTTTTATTACACGATGTTATTCCTTCACTGTGGAAGTCAATCGTGAACATTCGTTAAGTACGTATTTCATTAGATTTGTACCCGCGTAGTAATTGGTGTCTGCGGGATTCGAACACCGGTGCATCGCTAAATACGAATGCACCGGACCCCTTATCCTTTAGGCCACGACGATGTGATGTCAGATTTCGTAAAAAAATCGAAACACGATCATATAGTCTGTACATAAACGGCAATTGCAGGTTTATACATACATAGCATAGCCATGTACCAATTTTGGTATTGCGTGGGAACAAATGCAATGTTCTCGATTTTTGGCTCCATGACGGCTGGTTTTTTATTTGAGAAATTTCTTCTTTATCAACTATAATAATATGGACAACTATAATATAATGTATGTACATAAGTATGTGAAGTAATTTTTGTGTGCAAAAAGTACAAGCTTTTTTTGTGGTTAAAATCACAATTTTGACAAAAAACACTTCGGAATATTGTGACCTTGAAAATGAAAAAAAGTTTTGTTTTTTCGTGCGAAAAAGGTATATTGATTAAGTATCTTCAATTACAAGTGGAACTTGTGATAGCTTTAGGACACAAATAGGCAGGATCCAACTGCCCGAATAAACTCACGATATATCCTACCAGTAAGCTTATAAAGGAAAGAGAAATTTAAATTTCCATATTTCTAAATATCGGAATCAATAAAGAAAATCTAATCTCTTGTTGCGACCCGCAATGTTGAGGAAACCGTTTTCTAAAGGACGCTTTATGTGTTATTATTATATGTATTATATTAAATTATATAATTACAAATATAGGAAGTTATACATTTTTCTATGTTTCTGTACGAAATTAGTTCCCGTCTGCGCGGTAACAACAACAAATACTCCAAAGATTAAATTTATTTCTTTTAGTTAATCAGTTACTTAAATGGTAATAATTTCGACTACAGTCAAACCTGGGTAAGCGAGAACTGGATAAGTGAGAAAACTCTATAAGTGAGAGTAATAGCCAGGACCCGTCATTTTAAGCTCCCAAACCCTCTATTAGAGAGAAACAGAAACCTCTGTAAGAGAGAGTCGTTTTTCCCTCATGGACCTCCGTAAGTGAGACTGCTACTTATCTATACCTCTATAAGCGACAGTCGACCTTTATTTTAGGAGGAACAAATGAAAAAACAAATTACAAATTTAACATCTGCTATTTTATGACTCATTCTTAACTTTTGTGGACCTTCCTTCTATTGTTTTGAATTGTTTTCTCGTGAATATTGAACCTATTCTATTTCGTGGAACTAAATAACGTTGTTATTTTATCGCATTCTTTCCGAATGGACACGTGTGCCTGTGTACCGTCCTGTTTGTCGGACTTACTCAGTTTATCGTTAATCAATTGCGAAGGAAAGTTCTGTTCTGTATCATGTAAAAACGGAAAATTAAAGTACTGTCATTAAGTGAATAGTGAATGCGTTTGAATCCGGAAAATCGCGAAATGAAATTCAGAGGGAGCATTAGCGAGAAACTCGGGTTAGTGAGAAACCTCTATAAGCGAGAATGAGATTGTGCTCCCTTGAACTCTCGCTTATCCAGGTTTGACTGTATTTGTTTCATGATCAATTTATTTCGTAATCCATTTCATTTTCCGTAGCTTTTAAGCATGTTTAAAATTAATCATAATCGTTTTTGAAATACGCATCGAAAACTAATTTTAATCATCATATCTAATTAACTTTTAAACAGTTTACTTGTCACTATTTAATTTATAAAATAAAATTTAGAGTACAAATTAAGCACATATTTTATTTGAATTTTTTTTATTGTTTATCCTCAAATACTAATAAAATTATTTTGGAATCAATTGAATAATAGGAAAGATTGTTATAAAGTTTTTAATACGCTTTTATTAGCCTCAGATGTATTGTATGTATGTAACGGAATCTTTGAACATGATTTTGACCCCCTTCAAAACGTCGAATTAACTCGAAATTTGGTATAACTATTAAGGACCGATGACAATTCAATATCAAAAAAAAATTTGAAATTCAACTAAAAAATGAAAAATAAATAATAGTTTAAAAAATTAACTTCGCTTCAATGACACCATTTAATATTACTATGAAACTATTGATTCTAGTACAAAAACATTAGGAATCCATCCGACGCTGATCTTGCTGTTGGATTGTTCGGAGAATCTTAAAGATAACAGTGGAAGGTAAGTAGAAATGGACAAAAAAGTTACAATATAGAAGGGCCTACTAAGAATAAATAATAGTTTAAAAAAACTAACAAAATACGTTTTTATAGAAAGTCCAACTAAAAAATAGAAAATTAATTTTAATAAATTTGAATTAAAAATAGCTTAGGAAAAAGTGATTTTATTGTAAAAAAAGCGTGGGGTGCTTTTCAGGATATTATTATATCAAAATAATCCTTCTACTCATATCTGTTCATAAAATATTTATATCTTATACCATGTTATGTTATGAAGTTTTTTTTTTATATATTTGAATATTACTCACGGAACAGGTGTATACGCCGGTGATGTCTTCACCCTCGTAGGCAGTACTTTAAACGCCCCTTCATCCCTGGACACTGCACTGACACCCTTAGAACTATCAGACGTCCTAGAAGACAGATCGAAATATCGATCCTGAGCGTGGATCAGCTGGGTCACGGTGAAAGCTTCGTCTTTCAAATCGATTTGGGGCCCGAACAAATCGTAATCGTTGCAACGAAAGAATCGATCGTCTTCTATGTCGTTCGTGGGGGAATTTATCGATTTTATCGTTATATCGAGATTCTCGGATGTGTTTAATCTGAGCGATCGTTCCGTGGCGAAGGCGTACGGCGTGTTGGCCAGTTCTTCTTCGATACTGTTGTAGCGGCTTCGGAACAGCGACGGTTGCTCCCCTCCACTGTCGTATTTCCCCCCGAAGAGGTCGTATTGTCCGAATCTGTTGTTTATAGTGTCGAATTTGGGATCGGCGATGTCGTCCGCGCGGGGACTGGCCAATGGACTCATGTTGATCTGTACAACGCCGTGCTCGTCCTTGTATTTCAGTTTCAACGCCATTTTATTGTTTCGCGTTCGGCATGATTCGGTTTTCGTTCATCTGAAATAGAAAATAAAACGTGTGATTGGGTTTTTTGTCCAGATATTATTTATTTTTCATACGCTCATACATATTATGTATGTTAGTATGTAACGGAATCTTTGAACATGATTTTTACCCCCTTCAAAACGTCGGATTAACTCGAAATTTGGTATACTTATTAAGGACCGATGATAATACAATATTTAAAAAAAAAATGAAAAAATTGAAATTCAACTAAAAAATGAAAAATAAATAATAGTTTAAAAAAACAAAAAATATAGCTTTTATAGAAAATTCAACTAAAAAATAAAAAAATAATTTTAATAAATTTTAATTAGAAATAGTGTAAGAAAAAATGATTTTATTGTAAAAAAAAAGCGTGTATTTTTTAATTTTTTTAAACTATTATTTATTTTGTTGTGGTTCTAGAGATTGTTTAGTGGCCCTTCGGTGGTAACTGGTTACTGGGCAGTGCGCGCGGACTCACAGCAGGGCTTATTTATTATTATGTCGTGTAGAATTAATAAGAGACTTATAGGTAATGAATGAAGTGACGATACAATTCTTAACCAAGATGACAGGAACTCACACGATAATAGACTGTATACCTATGAATGAAGAGAGAGTATGCGATCGTGCTTCTCATTTATCTTTGAGAGGAGCATTCTGACTGAGGTCTCCTATATCCAGGTAGTAGAAGAGGCTTATATCCAGTGGACTGTTGATGATGATCGTTCTTGTAAATTTTGCGTATTACCGCACGGGGCTGCGCCTAATTCTGCCGCGCAGCAGCCTTGCTTTCCAAATTGGAGTGTTGAACAGCGGTTTAAAATATAATTGAGACTTGACGATTCAAGCGGGTGGTTATGCACACGCTGTGATGCCCATGGGCTCCGGTAAACTTTCAACATCAAGTAAACTCGTTAGTAGTTTATAGTAATTGAACACCGGTCTCAATGGGTCACGATTCCGATCCGGTGGTAGATTATGCGAAGCACCGCTCTTGTTAGGGCTAGTGTTAGCAAATTCTCTCTGATTTTTTTTTATTGCCCTTATAGGCAGACGAGCATACGGCCCATCTTATGGTGAGTGGTTCATGTCGCCCATGGAGTTCAGCAATGCCAGGGGCATAGCTAAGCCGCGCCTACCGAAAGCCCGTGAGCTCACTGGGACGTAGCTGGTATAGCCTCCTAGGCTATCAGTGAAAAGGAGGGAAAAAAACACCACTTAGTATACTGTTTATTCATAGCTCCTAGCTAAACAATTGTATTTTAGCATATAACATGTCCGGTGTCTTCTTAACTCTGTGGCATATGAATAGATTGGACTGATTTGATAAGTTGGGTTTAACTTTTGTATTCTAAAAAATCGTTTTAAGATGAAACTATGTCATTTCAATTGCAACATTAAGGGTCAGTCGGGTTAGGTCGATTCGTAATACAGCAGAACCGATATAAAATTATAATTATGAATTAATTAAATCAGACACGCCAGTTTCGAGAACGGGTTTATGCAAAAGATACCAATACGGTATTAGCATTTTTAAAAGCGTCAGGATGATGTTATGCGCTTAGAGAATTACGTAAGTTACGCTTCTGACCTGTTGCGAATTGATTTTTCTTTATCGAGGTCACTTATTTTAATTAATGTCGGATATTGTTTACCTAAAATGATTTACATTGATTATATTGACGTAGAGAAAGAGATGATAATGTAGGATAATTCCCTAATTTCCAAGGTTTTTAAAGTAATTAATGTATACCACGGCTACGAATCTTGTGACCTAAGTGCGTTGGAACAGCGCCCCTAGCGGCAAACGTAAGCAAACCTTCCGACTCCATTCAAATTTGAGTTAACTTTTACGCTGTCGTGAACGTTAAACAACGCACACTAAGCACATTGGTGTACCGAATTCCTACGGTCGGTGGTGGTTCGTTCCTAGAGGTGACACTAATTATGTATAGATAATATTTATATCTCTAACACTTTCTGATTAAAGCATCAGACCCTGTGCACAAATAACAAAAGAGAAAGTTTTTTTGTTTTTTTTTTTTATACTCAATCAAAATTAGCTCTACAGATTTAGACATAGAATACTTTTTAGCATGAAAAACGACCCGGGTAAAACCGTGTATATGCGCTATAACAAATACAACAGTATTTATGTGCCGGGTCAATATCACTACACAGTATAAAACAAAGTCGCTTTCTCTGTCCCTATATCCTTATGTATGCTTAAATCTTTAAAACTACGCAACGGATTTTGATGCGGTTTTTTTTAATAGACAGAGCGATTGAAGAGGAAGGTTTATATGTATAATAACATCCATTAAATAGTGGAGAAATCAATAATAAATTACAGTTTCCGAAGCGAAGCGAGGGCGGGTCGCTAGTTTTACATATTACGCATGTGATCTCAAGACACATCAAGTCGTAAAATAAACGAGCGATGACTTCTTTAATTTTAATTACTCGAAACAAAATTTGTGACGTAATTAATTACAAGCTTCATGTTTATTTATGTATTGAAATAGCTTCGGTATCGCTTCATGTTAATAAATAATAAAAAACAAGTGACCTAATTTCGAACGTTAACTGGTAATAATCCTGGCGTGATTACTGTAATAATATAAGCGTTCTAACATATGAAATACAACATTTTTCATACCTATGTAAATACGTTATTAAGACGGAGCACAGTTTACGAAGCGATAACGAAGCTAAATTTTTTTTTGACGTGACGACGTCTTATCATTCGATGGAGCCGGCTGCACGCACGAAAAAACATGACTTATGCGGCGTTACCTCGCTCTGAGACGTTCCATTTAAGGCTTGAAACGCAAGCGAGAGCGCGCAACGAGCGACAAAGAGGCACAATCGGCCTCCGCGTTCGGCAGCGTCCGACATCTGTCTCTCTCCTACTTGAGTGAGCGATGCATCCGCGTGGACAGCTGCTATACAATAATTCATTTACATGTTTTCGTCAAGTATGAAGTTCAGTGAAAAGTGAATGTGGTGTCAATTGTTTATAGCAACGATAATTGCGATAATTGAAAAATGAAACCATTCCATCAGTATTTTCTTATGACGTTGTCACGTTCAACTATCGTCAGTAAACCGACTTTACAGACAGCCGATTTTTTTTTCATTCTCTTTATTAGTGCCATACACCTATTAAGTTAAGTCGGCTGAAGCTACTTTTATGATGAAACAAACAAAAATTGAAGTGTATGTCTGTGATTTATACAACGGTTTTATGATCTGATTGACTCGGTGGTGCAGTGGTTAACGGTTCTGACTGTTGCGATGGGGGTGTGGGTTCGATTCCCACATCGAGCAAACATTCGTGTGATGAACAGATTTGTTTGCTCTTATCTGCATGTTTATTATCTATATAAGTATATATTGTTACACGGTGGGGCTCGGAATAAATAAAACTTTCACCGAAATACAAATGAAAACCATATTTAACACACTTAGAACAACACTTAGAACACTTTTTTTTTTTTTTTTGCTTAGATGCTTAGATTTTATTGATTATTGCTTAGACATTTAAGGAACACTTTACAATTGGAAATTTACTTCTTTTCGCTTTGCTTCAGGTGATCCGTTCGCTGCTTCGCTTCGAGTAGAAGCGATTACTAACTGTCTTCATGCCATCTCTGCAACGCTTTTTTAGAGAACATTTCCGATAGGGCGAATCGTTTCGATATGTGTTTCCACTATTTGATAATAGATGGCGTTACACTTCTCCAGCGTTCTCGATATTACTAGTTCTTTTGATATTCGCTTCTACTATTTGATGACAGATCGCGTTACTCTTACGCCAGTGCGTTTCCGTATTGTCTCGGGAATGCACGAACGTAGAACGAGGTGTGTAGAATCTTCTGCCCGTTTAAGCTAACCTAAGATATATATCAAAGAGTTAATGAATTAAGCTTCTCCAATGAACCCTTTACATTAGTGTGTTGGAGTCGTCGTGGCCTAAAGGATAAGACGTTCGGTGCATTCGTTGTTGCGATGCACCGGTGTTCGAATCCCGCAGGCGGGTACCAATTTTTCTAATGAAATACGTACTCAACAAATGTCCACGATTGACTTCCACGGTGAAGGAATAACATCGTGTAATAAAAATCAAACCCGCAAAATTATAATTTGCGTAATTACTGGTGGTAGGACCTCTGTGAGTCCGCACGGGTAGCCGTTGTAACTGTACTTGAGACCTTAGAACTTATATCTCAAGGTGGGTGGTGCATTTACGTTGTAGATTACTATGGGCTCCAGTAACCACTTGACACCAGCTGTGAGCTCGTCCACCCAACTAAGCAATAAAAAAAAAACACATTTACCAACTGTTTCGGTAATGTAAATAAAAAAAAAAAAACACTATTTCTTTCGCTATTTTTATTTTAAAGTTTACATTTTATCATTTTATTTCCTTAATTTATTGTCCATAAAAGTACTGTATGTCTTAGCTCGCACTGTGTCTATAACCTTAATATTTCCTCGTATATTTTTCACAAAGACCTAGTGTAACAGCTGTGGCACTATTAAGTATTTGCTAAAAATAAAATAAATATCCTTAAAACAAAATCGTCCAGTTCAGAAACACAAGGTCGTATTTCATTTTGGAGAAATTTATTTTATATAAAACATTCTGTGTTTTTATTTAGGGTCTCAATGGCATACATAAAACAGATAAAGGAGGGATTATGGCGAAAGGGTCATAGGGACGATCATAATAACAGTGAACATTCACTTTCCCTTAAGCAATTGACGCAGATGTACCCAGCGATCTTCAAGTGCAGTAAATTGTCCCTTCATAATGCGGTTACAACACTACAAAAATTTGCATACGTTCCGTCATGACTCATGCAAGTGTGTTGTTCGCTCACGCGGCCCGCACCCACATAGAATCTCATCAGGTCGTTGATTGCGACGAAGAGTTCGAAGAGCAACCCACTGAGTTTCTTGTCGGATCTTCTCAGTGGGTCGCGATTCCGATCCGGTGGTAGATT